CCCTTCCCCAACACATACGCGCATATATACATGTAACCCCTCGAACCATCGTTTTTAAAATTCGATCGGATCCGGAATGGGGCCAGATATTTGCCCACTCGGATATCTCGCACAGCTTCGCTGTTCGTCCGAATATATTGCCCACGGATTATTGGAAGTCCGCGACGAATGATTGGTTACACAAAATTTGATTCACCTCACCGCCTTTTTTTCATCCCACACTCGATGCCCGACATGTCTCGAAAAGAAAAATGCCAAATTTTTGAAAGTAGTGTCGCACAATTTTATAGTCGCAATATATTATTTCTGTAATATCAATCTTACAAAACATTATATATTATAATATATACTATATTTTTATAATTTTATATATTTATATTATAGTATATTATATTTTTATATTTTTATATTATAGTATATCTAAAATATTTTATAGCATAACGGGATATAATTAATAATTTTTATAATTCACGTATATATTTATATATCTTCATAAAATAATTTCAAAAAAAAAAAATTAAATTAATAAAAAATAAAAAAATTAAATTAATGAAAACTAAAATTTAGAAAAAAAATTATTTAATCTCTTTACACGTTTTATTTACGTCATTATTTGCGTTAAATCAATGAAAGTTTGACAGGAACCTGTATAATCCATCATTATCGTACGCAAGGATGCTGTGCGAATCAGTGATTTGTGATGAATTTGGAGTCTATGCATCTCGTATACTTATATTTCATATTTATCATTTTAGTCGCTTAATATGCAGGACGATCGTGATGAGAGATATTATCGTGTGCGAATCATTAGGATGAAAAGCGGAAATGGTATAAACTCAGGGAAACTGAAGATGCCCGAGGGGAGCGAACGAGGGAAGGAGAAGGTTGGAGATAATAGTTCAGTGCATCTGTATCAGGATAAACTGTTACGAGTAGGTAGACACATATGCAACTAAGCCATTGTGAACGAAAAGAGGAGGAAAATGAAGTTGTTGTTTCCTACACGGGAATTCGCTTTGAAATTTCAACTAACCGTGCAACTATATATTACGAATTTCTAATGCATAAAGGAGACGTTCGATGAGGAAAACAACACTCTCGATATATTTCCACCACGTCATAAAATTCGCGAGTGACGGCATTTGACGATTGTGACAAAGGACATATTAAGATATTATTTATCAATATTATATTATTTTAACATTCTCGTTAATTATGTTTTATTATTGGAAAGAGCAAAGTGGAAATGTCTGACTTTTATCGAAATTGTAAAAGCTAATCTAATTTAGTAATTTTACATGTATATAAAAGATTAAAACAAAGACGTTTTAGTAATTATTTCAAAATTTGAAAATTAATTTTTAAATTCAGGCACTTCCAACTTTAAATTCATATTGCGAAAATTTTCATTAACTTTATTCTCTTTATTACTTTCTCCATTCCCCCTTTCCTCCCTCCTCTTTCCTCTCTTTCCTCCCCTTTTTTTCTATCTCTCGCAAAATAAATGTGCGATTAATTTTTATATCAAATCTCGATTTTGATATCAAATCTCGAAATACGCAATAATCAAAATTCTAATCCTATTCTTTGCAGCACGAAGAAAGCGAAATGCGTATGTATAATTTTATATATATATATATAGCGGAATTTGTAGAATATATTTCAATCTGGCACGGCGGCCGACCGGAGATTTAATTAAAGATGCATTGCGCTCCGTTTCTAAAGTTGAATGAAGCTCAGCGGCGCGAACTTGAGACTCCCTTGATTACATCCTCTATCGCGTTAGATATCTAAATTTTATTTTCCCCGCGGAGCGCGTACATCGCGGCTGCGATATCAATTAAACTTTTTCTTCCCTTGCGTATGCCCTTCGAATATCACGGTGAATCCGGCCGATGAATCCGTAGGCGAGGCACGAACTTTGTTTTTATCTCGCTTTGCGGTTACGTTTCCTACTTTTGCCGGCGAATTAATTGCAATCGACTGACCAGCAGTTATTTCCGGGATTATCACAATGAACTTTCAAAAGAACGCACTCGCCGGACGTAATTGAGAAAATTTAGCTACGCTTTTATCATCCCCCTTTTATCATTTACCCGTCCAAGTGCTCCACGTGCTTCCTAGTCCACTTAGATTAATTAAACGCTTAGTATTGATTAAAAATGCCGCTCGAATAAATATTCAGCTGTCGGGAATTACCGCTTGATTGTATTGCTTGCGTGACGTTTTTCACGCCAACGCACTTACGATTAATCCTAAAGAACGCATTACGAGCTACGCATAATAATATCGAGATTTGCATGGATTTATTTAATCCAAGTATATGCTATTTTGATGTAAAGTTCGATGTAATCGATATCCCTCGGCATAATTATACATGTGATAAAAAGGAAGATAATGCTTCTTTATCAATCATTCTTAAAAGTATAAATGTCAATATGGAATATAAATGTACAGCAAGTTTATATATTTATTCTATTTGGTCATTTTCGTTATAGTGCAATAATGTTATATGCGAGCATCAACCTCGATGGTTCATGAACGTATACCAGTGTCGAGAAGCAAAGTTCGAGCATGTCGGTCGTTAGAATTGTTTCACGACTTTCTTTACGATCGTGTTCGCGGTCCTTCGGATTTTTCACTGGCACATACACGTTATATAAACATTTTTATTTGAATCTTATGCGTTTGCATGTATACGACAAGAAATATCTAATGAAATGAGATTTTTAATAAATTCCTCTTTTGTTATTATATTTTAGAAGCAAATTGCATTATCGCTGAAAAAAAGATAAGGAAATATACGTTTATTATAAAGATTAATATCCTCTCTATAATAACGTGGAATATTAATTTTTAGAATAAAAGCATCGATTCGAAACAATGCCATTTCGTGAAAATTTCGAGGAAGAATAAAAGAAGAGCGAAAATTGATTATTTCGCGATTTGTTTTAATTTCTAAAGTAAAGACTTAATTAATAAAGATAGACTTTTCAAAACAAACTATAAGGTACAAGAGAGAGAGAGTGGAAAAAGTTTAAACGCGGCCAACCGCAGAAGTGATTTATATTTCTTCGAACTACGTTTCTTCACAAGCAATAAATTTAGACGAAAAACGAGGAACAACGACGCGCAAATAACACTATGCTGCACATCTGGTATGCCATATGTATGTCGACATAGAGTTGGATGTATTATGCTAAGGGATATCGATAGATAAAGTTTCCAAATAGCATTGAAAAAATTATCGATTACGAAAATGATTGAATTTCGTAAATACGTTCACCTATTAACGCATAACCACATTTTATCGAGTTTTATAAATTCGCCCAAATTTTTCCGTCACATTTATTTAATCGCTACATTAGAGTTAAAGATATGCAACATATATTTTTTAGAACATATGTGATTCGTCATGTTTTGTCAAACAAAAATAATATTTCAACATGAGATAAATAATATTCTTCAGAGTATCATATATTAAATATTTACTTAATGCCATTAAATATTTATCGAATCTAACGTTTCTTAAACTACAAATCTTGGACAAATCATCTATCGCAACTTGCAGTAATTATCTATAATTTATTATAATATAAATATAATATTTTCAACATGAAATAAACAATATTCTTCAGAGTATCATATATTAAATATTTACTTAATGGCATTAAATATTTATCTAATCTAACGTTTCTTAAGCTACAAATCTTGGACAAATCTATCGCAACTTGCAGTAATTATCTATAATTTATTATAATATAAATATAATAATTTGCGATTAAAATAGCAAAATAAAATAATTTATTAAAATTATTAGCATTTAAAAATATTTACATTTCAAATTATTTAATCATTTCCTAATGCATTATTTATGATGACGATTTAAATTACACGTAATTCATGTATTTTCTCTCTCTATCAAGATTCTCATGATAATGTGTTATAAATTATAATATTTATTTATTGTCCATGATTTAAGCGTAAGAAACGTTTGAATTCATGCAATTCGTGGATACAAAAAATCGCATGCTAAAGACACTCGAGGTAAATCCACTTTCGAACGACAAGTTGAAAAAACCAGGGACTTCAAAGTCGAAAATAGTGGGAAACTTTCGAGTTCCCTTTACGAATATCACTCCTCGATATTTTTCAACACGGATTTGACGCGGCTCTCGAACACCCTCTGTCCATCTCGTTCGAGGATCATTGGATTTCCATCTCGTTCGAGGATTATTCGAAAGAGACGTCGAATCATGGAACATATAATCTATTTTCTATTCGCGAGCGAGCCACTCGTGACATCCGTACGATAACGCGTTATACGCGACCTACATAAACAGGTGTGCTCGTGGCTTTGCATGCTTGCGATGTAAAATTGCAGCGACACGAACGCGACATAAGGGTTGATCGGTACGTAAGTTGCGTTTTCAGACCGCGACAAGTTGACTTTCGCCGTAGCTTTCGCCTTTGATCCTAGAGCTACTCGATCATGGAAATAATTCTATGCATTTTCTTCGGTTAGAAGTTAGATAGTAAAAGAATCGTGCCACATACCGATATACTTTCACACGAAAAAGTCATGCTAATATATCGTCAATTTAACAGCAAATAAAAGTATTCTATCGAATATTTTAATTAAATAAATATACATTCTTATAACATCAATCATACTTTAATAATAACTTTTAAAGAAAACGAAATATATATAATAAATCAATTTTAAATTAAAATCACGTTCGCGCCGACAAGTTGGCGTTCCGAGAGATACGCGCTTATTTCACGCGTCACTTGCGCTTACTTCACGCGTCAACTTGCGCTTGCTTGTTGAAGGTGACACGTGACGTCACGAAATAGCGTCGCGCCGCGTCGCATCGCGTCGCGTTCAACAAACTTTCCAATGAAAAAAGAAGTCATCAAACCACTACAACAGCATTCCTGGCAGCGGATACCTCGAGTGTCACAAGCGATAATACAATCAATGAATATGCTTGACTCACCAACGTCACTGAATGAAGTCCGCCGCTGTATGACGTCTCAATGAAGTCGACGACGCAGTCCCATCTCCGCCTCCGTATTGTTAAGCACACACTTGACACACACTCGCCTTACGAGCCCCGCACTAATCTCGGCACAATCGCGAACGCGTTGTCTCGGTGCTCGCGAAACGGACGAAGCGAGGCGAATGATGACGCGCGTGATGACGGATTGACAGTCGGCGTAGTTCAGGGAGCACGAGAGAAACGCCAACGTCACGACGCTCGCTCGACGAGCGGCCGGCTCCGACTGTCGATGTCGACGTCGACCGTCGACTACGGTGCGGTCGCTGCCGGCAAACCCCGCTGTTAGCAAGCGCGAATTCGATCCCGTTCGTCCTCCTTCGCGGCCGCGGCACTACTACCACTACGTCGCTGCATCGCGCACCTCCCCACCCCCGCCGGCCCTTCGACCGACGCGACCGATGGCGCCGACGCGAGCGCCCTCGAAGGCGACCGCGCTCTCGGCGAAGCGGCGGAATGCGCGCAAACAAGCTCGCGCGCCCGACGAATTCCTCTCGTGTTATAAAAAATAAAACATGTCAATAGATTTGATAGAAATGTTTCGGCTAAATCGATTCAATCTAAGACGCGACAAGTGTGTCATTTTGATGACGGGACGGCGCTTGCGTCATTTTGAAATGGAAATCAACATCTGCGCTGCATTCATGGCGATGGAATAAATTGTAAGTGATTTGTAAATTTCGTCAATTTCAAAGTTATTTTAATTATCAAAATTACAGCAGTAAGATTAAACACACGTGTTTTAAAAGGTAATTTTATTCTTTAAGACGTTTAATATGTTTTTAAAGGGCAATCTTATGTTTCTTTTTCAAGACGTGTGTGTATTCTATTTATATTCTTACGATATAAAATGCAGGTAAGGATTTGTAAATTTCAATCGTCAATTTCGAGGTTATTTTAATTATCAAAATTACAGCAGTAAGATTAAACACACGTGTTTTAAAAGGTAATTTTATTCTTTAAGACGTTTAATATGTTTTTAAAGGGCAATCTTATGTTTCTTTTTCAAGACGTGTGTGTATTCTATTTATATTCTTACGATATAAAATGCAGGTAAGGATTTGTAAATTTCAATCGTCAATTTCGAGGTTATTTTAATTATCAAAATTACAGCAGTAAGATTAAACACACGTGTTTTAAAAGGTAATTTTATATTTTTTAAGACGTGTTTAAAATGTTTTTAAAGAGCAATCTTATGTTTCTTTTTCAAGACGTGTGTGTGTTCTATTTATATTCTTACGATATAAAATGTTGGTAAGGATTTGTAAATTTCAATCCTCAATTTCGAGGTTATTTTAATTATCAAAATTACAGCAGTAAGATTAAACACACGTGTTTTAAAAGGTAATTTTATATTTATTCTTTAAGACGCGTTTAAAATGTTTTTAAAGGGTAATCTTATGTTTCTTTTTCAAGACGTGTGTGTGTTCTATTTATATTCTTACGATATAAAATGTAGGTACAGCTCAAGGCTTTCAATCAATTTTTTTTTAATTCATAGATTTTGTAAACATTTTGAAACGAATATATATATATATATATATATATATATATATATATATATATACTTTTTATACACTGAGAAAAAAGTTATTAATTTGACTCAACCGTCCAACTAAATTATTATTTCTTTAATTGAAATATATTTAACTATTCAAATTAAATAATACATATTAAATCTAACATGACATCTATTAACTTAAATATTTAAATATTTCAATTAAAGATCTAATTTAATTAAACGATTTAGTCAATTTAGCAACTGTTTTTTTGTCAGTGTATATATATTTATAAAATAAATAAAAGGAGAAAAGCAAATTTTAGTTGAGAGCCATTTTTATAACAACTTTACAATAAATATAGAAATAGTTACAATTTAATATTTTAATATATTTTAATATATTTTTAATATATTAAATATAATTTAAATATAATTTGTAATATATTTTTAATATATTTCATAATATATTTTCAATATATTTTATATTTTATAATATTTTAATATATTTTTATCTTACATTTTGTATAAAAAAATTGCATTATGCCCCGTCAGTTCTCTCTTGACTAACACAAAAGATTAAAAAAGTACTCTCGACGAGCGACTCGACGCTTAATCGCGATCAAAAGAAATAACGTCATTAGACGCGGACGGTTTCCGCGGATTTAAATTCTAATTCAGACCGGACGACTCGTGGAGGCTGGTTAATTTTGCTGGACGACAGTGAATGCTGACGTTCCAGCGAGGATGCCCCCCGAGGAATTTGTAAATTCGACTCGGCTGGAACTTTTAATCGTCCATCAGGGAAGAAACGAGGAGCGCGGAACTTTTCGCATAATAATTCTTTCGTACCAACCCGCGGCGAGTCTCGCACCCCCGCTATGATCGTACCGAGAAAATAATCGGGGTGGTTTTTCACATGCGTTTGAACGCTACTTCAAACTAACGTCCGTTACACTTTGTGACGCGCTAATAAAAAGCTGCAACCGCATAATTTTTTTTTTCTTTCTTCTCTATCGTCCTTTTGCTGCATTATTGTCTTTAATATTTCGTATTCCAAATCGCATTATTGGTGCTTCGCGTATCGAGAGTAATTGAGAAAACGAACACCAGTAACATGATAATAACCAATACGAGCCATTGAACCGTAATAGTATTGTCCTTATTGGCCTCGTATTGTCTTTACTGTGACTTGTATCCGTTCAATTACTTCTATATGAGGAACCAATAATGTGAATTAAAAATAAATCCAAGCAGCTATGATAAAGCCAACATGGAGCATTGAACGCTAATTGTCCAATGGCTTGTACATCGTTGTAGTAATTAACAAATGAATTTCATTCTGTAAAAACAAATATACACAAACATATTATTTGTATCTTATTATATAGATTAATATAATGAACCATACCTGTTTAATTGCTAAAGTATTATTAAAAAGTAATAACGAAATAAATAATAGATTAACCATATCAGGCAGTGATCATAAAAACTAACGCGAAACATTGGACATAATTGTCTTAATGGCTCTGTACATCGTTGCAATAATGACAAGTGGATTCATCCTGTAAAAACAAACGGAAAGTTGTTACTTATATCTTATTATATAGATCAGAGCTCGGCAAGAACTGCACATTTCGGTCGATTTCCATCTAGCGCGTCCCCCCCTTACCTCGTCGCGCGCAAAGCCTAAGAGCATGCAAAGCCTACAAGCGTACAAAGCCTACAATCCACTCGACGTTCAGGAGCGTATGGCAATAGCTTTCCACGTCACCCATGAGGTACTATTGTTGACGCGGTTTTTTTAAGCGGTATTCTCAGTAGGCCTAATTCACTGATGATTAAAACGACCCTTTAACTAATTGCATAAGACGATAAAGTTTATCACGTCTTATGCGATATTTGCTTGGAGATACCACTTAAAAAAAAACACGTCAACAATAGTACCTCATGGGTGACGTGGAAAACTATTGCCATACGTTCCTGAGTGCCGAGCGGCTTGTAGGCTTTTCACGCTTGTAGGCTTTGCACGCTCTTAGGCTTTGCGCGCGATGGCGAGGTAAGGGGGGAAGCGCTAGGCCGAAATGTGTAGTTCTTGCCGAGCTCTGATATAGATTAACAAATCATACGTATTTAATTGCTAAAGCATAATGAGAAAAATAATCACAAAAATAAACAATAAATAAATAGATAAAAATAATCGACAGTGACTTTGATTGAATATGATATATTTGCAATGAATAATTTACGTTATTATGTATATTAGCAATTGTAATGGATCAAGTAGATAATTATAAATGTATGCGACTAGCGCGATATTTGCACGAATGTGTGCAAAATACTGCATTTGCACATACAATCGTAGATGTTGCAGGCCCACTTGGGAAATCAAGCGTTTCTCGTTGCGCTTGATAAATGCTACGCGAGGAAGCGAGTCCATGGATAATTGTGGTTCTTCTTGTTGCATAATGAAAAATCCGAATTACTCGATTGCACAATTACAGACGATCTCTGGATTCTTCCGCTCTAATAACGGGAACTAGTTTCTGAAACACACATGTATGCCATAAGAATAAACATTTATATTTTTCCCCAAAAAGATTGTGCCATAAAAATATTTAGTAATTAATTGTAATTATTATACATAATAATTAAATTCTTTATAGAAAATTTTGTTTATATTATTGTTCTATATGTTTAGGATTCCACAACTAAATAAAATAATATAAATAATTTACAATTAAATTCTAGATATATAATTACGTAATTAATTTTTAAATAACTTTTATTAGTTTTGAAAAAAATTGTATGTGAAACTAATGAAAATAGAAACACATTACATTGCTCTGTCATAATAAAAAATCGTCTTATACTCCAGGATTAACGCTTTTTAAGTAAGATTTTTGTAACTTCATAAACTTTTCTTCAAAAATTTGATATAAATGTATACAGAATATCTCTGGTTGTAAATTTAATTGCGATAAACTTTTGCTTCATATGCATTTTCAACAGTTGTAAATCGGTAAAGGGGTAACCTGTTAACTTTTTCATGAAATTTCCGTTCGTTCACTTTTATATATCTCCAAAATTTTACTATGTGAAATTTATACACAATTTATGAACATCGCTTAAGCATTTGTAGAACTTTAAATTTGATATAAAATAGATAATCATCGATTCTTTCTCTCATCACTAACGTTAAGATATAAATATAAGTATAAAAAATTCGAAATTCGATCTTATATGCATTGAATCGATTTTTTGCAATATATTCTATCATAGGCAAATTAAGTGAACGATAAAAGATAGAACGATAGTAGGTTAAAGTAAAGAAAATCGGATGTTATTTTTTATATAAGGGAATTATAAGAGTATTATTGGAATGGTTATTGCTGTCAATTTCATGAATCGTCGCACAGCCACGATATGTATTCGCAATGAATGCTCTCGAAACACTTTCGTTGCCATTCGGTCAGCAGATGCTATGCATTTTAAGCGGGCCTCCGTCTGCTAAGGTCATACCGAGTGAATTTCGATAATACGGCGTACACAGTTCCCGAATAATAATCAGCGTTAATTGCAATTGCGCATAATTGCCTCTGTCTGCATATTGTATTTATGAAACCATCATTAAAATACGCTTCCCTAAAATCGTAACTTTTTCAATATTCCGATAATTCTTTTCGTTTTTTTTTAATTTTAATTAAATAACGATATATCGCACATGTGCAAAATATACATTCTTCCAAAAAATTTATACAATCATGTGCTTTCTCTCTCTCTCTCAATTATATTAAATAAAAATAATCGAGATCGTAAAAGCTTTG